GGTGGTCAAAAGCCTGGTCCCTTAGTCCAACAGACACACAGGCAGCCAATGTAGCAGGTATAGAACCACCCACTGCCGTGGGGACTGGAGTGAGAGTCTCAGCTCTTATTCCTGGAATCAAAAGTGATATCAGCATTGGCCCCATGGAGGTGGGGGCTTCTCTGGTTGAGAGAAGCAGCAGAAAGGAGTCCAGCCTGGGTACAGCTGCTGGACCTGGGGGCGATCCTGTACTGTCCTGTTGGTGAGGTGACACCCCCACTCAATCAGCTGTAGGGCCTGCCTCCCTGTGTGTGCGTGTGGTCCAAAGCCCAGAGCTGCCCGTTCCCAGAGCGCTTGGCTGGACACTGGGCGCAGGGGACGTGGGGCATAGGGGGCCTGGGTTTGGGGCACACTGGGTGCAGGGGACACAGGAGGCACTAGTTGCAGAGAGCACTGGGGACATGGGTACAGAGGACACAGGGCACCAGGGGGCACAGAGGACACAGGGGGCACAGAGGACACAGGGTGCAGGGGGCACAAGGTGCAGGGAGTACTGGGGACAAGGGTACAGAGGACACAGGGGGCACAAGGCACAGAGGACACGGGACAGAGGACACAGGGTGCAGGGGGTACTGGGGGCACAGGAGACAGGGGGTACAGAGGACACGGGGGCACAAGGCGCAGGGGGCACAGGGAACAGGGGGTACAGAGGACACGGGGGTACGGGGGACACGGGGGGACAGGGGGCACAGGAGACGGGGTATGGAGGACACAGGGGGACGGAGGGCGGGGGCACAGGGGACAAGGGGTATGGAGGGGATGGGGGGATGGAGGACACGGGGGCACAAGGCGCTGGGGGACAGGGAACAGGGGGTACGGAGGACATGGGGGTACGGGGGACAGGGGGCACAGGAGACAGGGGGTATGGAGGAAGGGGGGACGGAGGGAGGGGGAAGGGGAAGGGGGTAGGAGGACAGGGGGCACAGGGGGCACAGGAGACGGGGTATGGAGGACACAGGGGGACGGAGGGACGGGGGCACAGGGGACAAGGGGTATGGAGGGGATGGGGGGATGGAGGACACGGGGGCACAAGGCGCTGGGGGCACAGGGGACATGGGAGGACAGGGGGTACGGAGGGGACGGGGGTATGGAGGGATGCAGGATACGGGGGGCACAAGGGAGAGGGGGTACAGAGGACATGGGGGGCACGGGGGACAGGGGGTAGGGAGGGGCAGGGGACACGGGGGGATGGAGGACAGGGGACAGGGGGGCACAGGGGGTATGGAGGGGACAGGTGGTACGGAAGGGATGGGGGCACAGGGAACACGGGGGGCACAGAGGACACGGGGGACAGGGGTATGGAGGACAGGGGGGCACGGGGGGCAAAGGGGACATGGAGGACGGGGGAGCACAGGGAACAGAGGGTATGGAGGACACAGGGGCACAGGGGACAGGGGGTACGGAGGGCACAGGGGACAGGGGACAGGGGGTACGGAGGACACGGGGGCACAGGGGACGGGGGAACAGGGGGTAGGGAGGGGACAGGGGACACGGGGGGCACAGGGAACACTGGGGGCACAGAGGACACCGGGGACAGGGAGTACGGAGGGGACAGGGGGACAGAGGACAGGGGGACACGGGGGGCACAGAGGGTGTGGGGGGCACAGGGGAGAGGGGGTCACAGAGGACACGGAGGGCACGGGGGATGGGGACAGGGGGGGGGCACAGGGAACAGGGGGGCACAGAGGACATGGGGGACAGGGGGTACGGAGGGGACACGGGGGGACAGAGGATGGGGGGCACGGGGAACACGGGGGGCACAGAGGACACGGGGGACAGGGGGTATGGAGGGGACAGGGGGACAGGGGTTACGGAGGGGACACGGGGGCACAGGGGACATGGGGGGACAGGGGGTGGGGGGACAGGGGGCACGGGGGGACGGAGGACAGGGGGGCATGGGGGGCATAGGGAACACGGGGGGGACAGGGGAGCATGGGGGGGACGGAGGACAGGGGGTAGGGAGGGGACAGGGGGGTACGGGGGGATGGAGGGGGCACGGGGGGACAGGTGGTAGGGAGGGGACAGGGGGGCACGGGGGGACAGGGGACGAGGGGCATGGGGGGACAGGGTGTAGGGAGGGGACAGGGGGCAGGGGGGACGGAGGGGGCACGGGGGGCACAGGGGACACGGGGGGATGGAGGACGGGGGGACGGAGGGCACAGGGGACACGGGGGGCACAGAGGACACGGGGGACGGGGGTAGGGAGGGGACAGAGGACAGGGGGCCATGGGGGGCCACGAGGGGGCACAGAGGACACGGAGGACATGGGGGGACAGGGGGTAGGGAGGGGACAGGGGACACAGGGGGACGGAGGACAGGGGACACGGAGGTCACAGGGGGTACGGAGGGAACGGGGGTATGGAGGGGACAGGGGGCACAGGGAAGACAGGGGCACAGAGGACACGGGGGACGGGGGTACGGAGGGAACAGGGGGATGGAAGACAAGGGGGCACGGGGGGGCACAGGGAACACGGGGGACAGGGTGGCACGGGGGACAGGGGGTAGGGAGGGGACAGGGGGGCACGGAGGGGACATGGAGGGGACACGGGGGGATGGAGGGGACATGGGGGGACAGGGGGTAGGGAGGGGACAGAGAGGCACGGGGGGACGGAGGGGGCACGGGGGGACAGGGGACAGGTGGGGCAGGTGGGGGACAGAGGGGACACGGAGGGACAAGGGGGACAGGGGGCACGGGGGCACAGGGGACACGGGGGGACGGAGGGGACACGGAGGGACGAGGGGCACAGGGGGCACGGGGGGACGGAGGGGACAGGGGGTAGGGGAGGGGACGGAGGGGGCACGGGGGGACAGGGGACGGAGGACAGGGGGGGCACGGGGGGACGGAGGGGACACGGAGGGGACACGAGGGGACGGAGGGGGCACAGGGGGACAGGGGGTAGGGAGGGGACAGGGGGGGACGGAGGGGGCACAGGGGACACGGGGGGACGGAGGGGACACGGAGGGACGAGGGGCACAGGGGGCACGGGGGGCACAGGGGGCATGGGGGGGACGGAGGGGACACAGAGGGGGGACGGGGGGACGGAGGACAGAGGGCACGGGGGCACAGGGAACACGGGGGGCACAGAGGACATGGGGGACAGGGGGGGCACGGGGGGCACAAGGGACACGGGGGGACGGAGGGGACACGGGGGGGGACGGAGGACAGGGGACGGGGGGCACATTGGGAGAGCGGGCACGGGGGGACAGGGGGTAGGGAGGGGACAGGGGGCAGGAGGGGACGGAGGGGGCACCGGGGGGCACAGGGGGCATGGGGGGACGGAGGGGACACGGAGGGACGAGGGGCACAGGGGGAACAGGGGGCACGGAGGGGACGGAGGGGACAGGGGGTAGGGAGGGGACGGAGGGGGCACGGGGGGACAGGGGACGGAGGGGGCACGGGGGGATGGAGGGGACATGGAGGGAGCACAGGGGGACAGGGGGACAGGGGGTAGGGAGGGGAAGGGGGGCAGGGGGGATGGAGGGGGCACAGGGGACATGGGGGCACAGGGGGCACGGGGGGTATGGGGGGGACACGGAGGGGACACAGGGGGACGGAGGGGGTACGGGGGGACAGGGGGTAGGGAGGGGACAGGGGTACGGAGGGGCACAGGGGGCACGGGGGGACGGAGGGGGCACGGGGGGACAGGGGGTAGGGAGGGGACAGGGGGTACGGAGGGACGGAGGGGGCACGGGGGGGACAGGGGGGCACAGGAGGCACGTGGGGACACGGGGGCACAGAGGACACGGGGGGACAGGGGGTAGGGAGGGGGCGGGGGGGACGGAGGGGGCACGGGGGGACACGGGGGCACAGGGGGCACGGGGGGACACGGGGTAGGGGACAGGGGGTAGGGGGGGTACAGGGGGGGGGGTAGGGAGGGGCACAGGGGGCGGGGGGTAGGGGCAGGGGGGAAGGGGGGGGGGACACGGGGGGACGGAGGACAGGGGACAGGGGGGCACGGGGGGGACACGGGGGTAGGGAGGGGACACGGGGACAGGGGGGCACGGGGGGGGACGGAGGGGCACGGGGGGGACAGGGGGGACACGGGGGGGGACGGAGGGGGCACGGGGGGAGGGGGGGCGGGGGGGGGGGGGGGGGGGGGGGGGGGGGGGGGGGGGGGGGGGAGGGGGGCGGGGGGGGGGGGCCGGGGGGCGGGGGGGGGGGGGCGGGGGGGGGGGGGGGGGGGCGGGGGGGGGGGGGGGGGGGGGGGGGGGGGGGGGGGGGCGGGGGGGGGGGGGCACGGGGGGACGGGAGGGGACAGGGGGGCACAGGGGGGGACACGGGGGGGACAGGGGGGCAGGGGGCAAGGGGGGGACGGGGGGGGAGGAGGGGGAGGGGGGGGAGGGGGCGGGGGGGACGGGGGGGGAGGGGAAGGGGGGACGGGGGGGACGGAGGGGCACGGGGGGGACAGGGGGCACAGGGGGGACGGAGGGGCACGGGGGGGACAGGGGGGCCAGGGGGGACGGAGGGGACGGGGGGCAGGGGGACAAGGGGGGAACGGGGGGGACGGAGGGGGCAGGGGGCCGGGGGGGACAGGGGGGCAGGGGGGGAGGAGGGGACGGGGGGAGGGGGGGAAGGGGGGCACAGGGGGGACACGGGGGGGACAGGGGGGCACGGGGGCACAAGGGGGGACACGGGGGGGACGGAGGGGGCACGGGGGGGACACGGGGGTAGGGGGGGGACAGGGGGGCACGGGGGGGGACGGAGGGGCACGGGGGGGCACAGGGGGGCACGGGGGGACAGGGGGGGCACGGGGGCACAAGGGGGGACACGGGGGGGCCGGGCAGAGGCCGGGCTCGGAGCGCGGCGGGCGGGGCGGCGGGCGGGGCCGGGCCCTGGGCTGTCACTCGCGGCTCCGCCTCCCGCTGCCCCGACGGAGCCGCCGGGAAGCGGCCGGGCAGAGCCCACGAGGCGGCCGAGAGCGACGGGCTGCGCCGCCGGGCCGGCCCCGCAGCTCCCGCGGCCGCCGCGCTGGGGCCCCGCCGGGCCATGGGGGCGCTCGGGCTGGCCGCGCTGCGCCTCTCGCTGCTCGCCGCCGCGGCGCGGGCCGCCAGCCAGGTACCGGGGCCGCGGGCTCCTTCCCCTCCGCGCGGGGCGGGCCGGGGCGGGCGCGGGTCCGCAGGGGGCTCGGCCCGGGCGAGGGAGGGACCCGGGCGTGTCCCGGCTGCAGCCTTCCAGCCTCGGGCGCGGGGCGGGTTCTCCCAGGGCCGGGACGGGCCCGCGGGCAGCCGCGGTGCCTGAGAACTGGGTCCCGGGCTGCTCTTGGGAGCGAGCGGCCTGGGGGATGGACGCAGGGCGGGACGAGCCCGGCGGGGTGGCTGGAGGACGGGTCAAGGGACAGGCCGGTGCAAACGCCCCGACAGAGAGGGGGAAACCACCCAGGAATCCCGCAGTCCACACGGGGTGTCTGTGCTTTACAGACAAATGTGTTTATAATTCACAGGAAGGTGCCAGAAAGGCTCTTCTTGCTGTCCCATGGCAGCTCTGACCTTACTTCTCTCATCCCTCGGGGCTGGGTATTTTCTGCTTCCCAGGTTAAACCAGATGAGCTGAGACCCTAATGAACAATCTGTGACGTTATCACGTCCTTTATATACCCAGGGCCAGCTTCACCCCCAGAGCCCCTTCATTGGCTGCGTGAGAGCCCCCGCCTGCCCCGGTGTTCATGCCAGGCCATTTTCACTTTTCAGTTCTCAGTCTGTTCAGACTGAATCACCGAAGTGCAGATTTGGGGCCAGTGAATTCCAGTGGGATTTAGTAGGTGCCTTGCCAAAGACAGCTGTGAGCCAAACGCTTCTCACCCACCCACAAAGCTTGAGAAAGAGGCTGTGGTTTGGGTTAATGGCGCCACATAGTTTGTAGCCCCAGCGTTCCCACTCTCAGCACTCCCTGTGCTGTCCCAGAAAGAGCTGCAGGAAAGCCTGAGCCCTGGCATAAAATGCCCCTATGCGGCCTTCTCCCAAGCAGCTGAATCAGGGCAATTCCACTGCTTTTCATCCCACCTTGGGCACCAACACGAGAGCATGTTCACGTGAAGCATGACTTGCCCCATGCCCTATCACTGGGAATCGGATTCTGCCTTTGGCTGGATTCATTCGACGCTGTCTTGTCTGAATGGCATTGCATCGGGCTCGGGTGACTGGCCAAAGCTGCGCTGTGAGCTATTCTGTATTCGTTCTGTCCTGGGTTGTGCTGAGACCCACACCAGCCCAGCAGACCTTCTTCCTTTATATCTGCACAGCAGCTCCTGCTGCCCCGGCTCAGAGAGCAGCTGTGGTGCTGGAGGGATGATGATCAGACACGTAAGGGGTGGTATGGAGTCACTCAGGGAGTGCAGGGTACAGGTTTCTGGCTGCCCAGAGTAAGAGAGTCCAGATTAAGCCCAGGGCAGGCAGCTATTTGCACACACATGGTCTGTTGGCTCCTAAATACATGTGGGAAACCCTGAGTGAGGATGTTCCAGTCACTTCAAAAAGAACAGAAGCAAATCTTGGCTGTGCTTTAGCTTGATGACCTTATTTGTGCTCTGAAGGAAAACTGGTAGGCTCAGCCCCTTGTGGGGAAGGAAAACCTTGTATCACATCTTGGGACCTCTTTGTGGCTCATGAGTGACCAATAGAAGTTCTGAAGCTGTCTAGCTGTCCTTGGAAGCGTAAGCCCCACACAAGGTCATTCACGAAGAAATACAGTGCATCCCTGATCCCTGACCTTGGCCTCTAGAACCCCCATCTTCCTCTGAAAAAATAACATTGTGGAGGCTAGACCACCTTCTTCAGTTTAAGTGAAATCCCGGGGCTGTATGAAGAGCTCACAAGTCCCCTACACAGCAAGCCCAGGCAGTGTGGAATGAGCTTTCTTTGATTGTGAAACAAACCCCCTGCTCACACAAGGTTTTCTTATGGGGGGTGGGGGGGAAGAGAAATGTTGGAAGCTGCTTAAACAAACTGTGCCTGGAATTGAACTCCAAGAAAATAATCCCACTATCAAAACATGCCTGCTGCTGGTTGTGCAGAATTGTGAGGTGAACTCTTTGTTGCAGTGATTTGGCCCTAGCAAACATTTAATCTTACTGCCACCAGCACAAGCTTGAATGAAAGGAGTGTGTGCACATCCCGACATCCACAGAGGACAGAGTGTGGAGTTGAATGTTTGGTGTGAGACCAAATTCCAAACAAAGTTAGAATCAGCATAGTGGCTGCTTGTCTGCCAAGTGTGTATTTGTCTATCTGGAGATGGCGGCTACCCAGTTTGCATGTCCACAGATGTAAAAAAAGAGTGAGAAGCTGGTCGTTAGATGTTAAGATGGGGACGTTGGTTGGGTTGGAAAGTACCCGGATCCCTTAGTACAGCGGTTCTCAAACTGTGGGTCGGGACCCCTGTCTTAATGGGGTCGCCAGGCCTGGCTTAGACTTGCTGGGGCCAAAGACTGAGCTCCACCCCCAGGCTAAAGCCCAAGCTTAGGGCTTCAGCCCTGGGTGGCGGGGTTCAGGTTACAGGCCCCCTGCCTGGGGCTGAAGCCCTTTGGCTTCAGCTTTGAGCCCCCCGGTGGTGGGGTAAGGCTTTGGCCCCTCCACCCAGGCCACCCACCTTGGGTGGGCTCAGGCTTTGGTCCCTGGGGTCATGTAGTAATTTTTGTTGTCAGAAGGGGGTCATGGTGCAATGAGAACCACTGCCTTATAGTTGGGGTCTGCAGTTGTAAGCTCTGTTATTAGACCCTTTTAATGTCAAAACAGAATGGCCTGCATCCTGAGACACTTCCTCTTGGGGGACGGGGAGAGTACTGGAGATGGGAAAGGTCTGTGTGGAGAGGAGCCAGACGTGAATACCAGGCACGCTGTTCTCTGGCTTTCCCACTGCCTGTCACTCTTAAGGAGCTGCTGTTATACACAGACACTGCTCCAATCCACGGCCCAGGACATAACAACTACGCCACAAGAAGCTGTGCGACGCGGCAGAGTCCTTACAGAAATCCCAGCACTGCTGAGGAGAATCACAATAGCCAAAGACCTTCCCAGGACAATGATCGTCATCAAGCTAAAACACGGCTAGTGCTGGTGTCTGTTCTTGCTGAAGTGACTGGAACATTGCTAACATGGGCTTGCGGGGCTTGTTTCAGAGGGAACAGGGACTTTGGAAGAGCTTTTCAAGAGTCCGCCCACACGCTGGTGAAGTGTGCACCTAGCTGCCAGAGGTGCCTTTGAAGATCCCATCCTGCTGTTTATTAAGGACTTCAGTTGCTTTTCATATGAAGTTAATTAAGCTGAAAACTGCAGCCATAAGAATATTCTTCTCATGTGATTTTAATAGGAGTCAGTCATTGGCCATCCACATGGGAGATGGGTTCGGATTTAAATATTGTCCTTCCTCAAGGGCCTGCAGCATCTCAGAAGAAACAGCATGCCCCCCTCATGCAAGGAGCGTGTTAGCCTGTGGCAGGCTTTGCACACGGATGGGTAGCCTGTCTTGCACTCAGGTGTTTCAGCTTGTGCCCTATTTTTCCGGCTAGCCAGCTGGTAACCAGATGTGTCACTTACAGACGTGTCACAGATAGCCAGGATTTAGTCCAGGCTTCAGGAATAAACGTAGTTGTCCAAGCTGCCTTCCTGGGTACCTCATCCTCTGAAGCATAAGTCAAAAGATGGCAGGTGTATAAACAGGGAAGTTTTCCAGATTCCTCTTTAAGGAATCCAGGCACTCGAAGTTGGCTGCACTTAGCAGATTCTCTTTCTCTGTAACACTCGGCTTCCTTATGCCCAGCACAAAAGAAGGATTCTTCTGCAAGGTAGGCAGATGGAGTGAGTCTGGAGGGTCTTGCCCCACATGGACTGGTGAGAAAAGGCCTGAGCTTTCCCTGCGCTCTGCAGCCCTGGGGAACGGCCAGAGGACGCCATGCAAACTAGGGCGGTGCTGCTGCCTCTTCTGGTGTCATTGAGCATGCCTCTGTCGCACTTAGTCTCTCCCCGAGTCCCTGGTGGCCATGACGACATGGCGTTGAAGGTTTGTGCCAAGCCTGTGTGTGAATGCTGGGTTGGAGGTGGAAGTGAAAGAGGAGAATGACATGGTTCCCGCCACATGAGAACATCCTTCCAGCAGCCCACAGATGCACAGGATGGGAGTATAACTGCTTGTCTTTATGCTACAGAAGTGTCAACACAGTGTTTGTTCCTTTCAGGCAGTCCCTGCCTGTGGAATAAAAGAAGCTGGGGGAGATTTCATTGCTAAGGGTGCCTCTCAAAGTAATGGCGTCTCTTAAATGTCCGTACTGAGGACTGATGCTAAAAGGCTGCAGAACCTAAACACCACTCAGCTGGCTGGAGGACTCCAGTGAATCAGCCCTGCAGTAGAAAGGGGAGAACCCTAAATACAGTGGAGCTCCCCACCTGTAACTTCTCCAGAGTGAGGGGCGTCTGGTCTTCTGCTGAAGAAGGCAACATTGTAGGTATCTGCAGCAATGAGTGGCACACAGTAAAGAGGGGGCACCAATTAGTTGGATCCACTTCCAGCTGCGTTGCTCTGACATTTACACAGGATGGAGAATTTACATCCCACGTAACAAAAACCCACCAGAAAGCCCCCAAATTCTCATGTCTAGAGGACACAGGGCAAAGCATTGCTCTTACCCATGTCTCATGTGTTACCACGGTTACTGCTGGAGCATCTCTATTCAGGAATAAGCAAGCCACAAAGATGGGGCGGGGAGGGGAATGGTGCGATAGTGAATTGCAGGGATCAAAAAGGATGAGAACTTCTTCTTACTAAAATTAGTTGGACGCTGTCCTGTGTATAGACCCCTTGTACACCCAGGAGGCCTTTCCGACTGCCCATTCTCTGTGGCTTTGCCGTGAGAGGCGTTGCAGAAGGGTTTCTTTCAACACAGCTACATTGTCTGCTGGCTTTTCCTCAGCAAATAATACAAGTAGCCACGCGAGCAACATGTAAGGGACAGAGCCTGAGTTGCTTCTCTTTCTTCACTGTCAGTTTGAACAGCTTGACTTTGCAAGTGCTCAACCTTCCCATCAAGGGAACCCTGCCCAGGGCACACTCTCTCCCTCCTTCTG